ACATGAATAGAATATAAAAGCTAAACGGCTGCAGTACAACGATTTTCATCCGTCCTCATCTCGTGAGATCGACAAAAGAATCTCTTCATCATGTACTTTCATTCGAAATGAAGGTCCCCCTAACAATAGGAACATACTCAGAAACCTAAATGCCAAGAGTAAGATTGTAAAACATGTTGTCGTGCTCGTACAGTGTCTGTCATGTGGCGGACAAAAGGGGTCATGGCGGTACGCCGAAGTCATATTCGCACAAATCTACTGTCAGCTCCATGACAATTGCGCTACAGTTTCCGGTCTAGCCAACTTGCGAATCCCTTCCATACCGCCTTTAAACGAACTAAAAGGTATATGAAATATATTCATCTTGTTTCATTTAAGGCGATGAAGGACTGCTAGTTACATTTTTCCACAATCACATGAGTAGGGTTTACGCTTCTGCTGAATTTCACACGTTTGCGAAGAAAAGTTGTGTTTCTAGGCATCTCTTCTTTCATAATTGTTGAGCTTACTTCCATTTCAAATGAAAGTGTGGCATGAAGAGATTCAAAGCTCGATTCCACCAGAAGACGACCAGCAACGGATTCCTATTGACCAGCTGTCGATTGGCTTTTCTGCAACATTCATCTTGACGCTGTTTCCGAGGCAATCTTTTTCGATTTTGGTGAAAATCTGCTAACCTTTCGTTCATCGCATGACGAACATCATCATCGTCGCAACTAAACTCAAGCTAACGAGTCAAGAAAACATACAGAAACAGACACACTTACTTGCATCGAAGTTGACATATGAGCCTAACTAACCAAATCACTTTATAGTTGATCAAAGAGGCCAGATGTAGAATGTATATACCACTTTTTAGGGATTTGCCGGTGAGTTTTCTTGACTCGTTAGCTTGAATTTTGTTGTGGCGATGATACTCTCGATGCTCTGATGATGTCCGTCATATGACGCACGAAAGCTTAGCCCCTTTTCACCGGAATCGAAGGAGATTGCCTCGGAAACAGCGTCAGCATGAATGTTGCAGCAAAGCCAATCGACAGCTGGTCAAGAGGAGTTCGCCGGTCGTCGTCTTCTCGTGGGATCAACCTTCGAATCTCTTCACGCAACACTTTCGCTCAAAACAAAAGTAAGCTCAACAATCGTGAAACAAGCGACTCCTCGAAACACAACTTGTATTCCGACTCTTTTTGCCCAGCCGTCAATTGGCTCAACGGGAACATTCTTGTTGACTTCGTTTCCAAGGCAATCTCCTCGGAGCAAATGGTATCATCCTTACAACCATATTCAAGCCAACATTTCAAGAAGACTCACCGGATCTTTCATAAAAAGCTGTATATATTCGCTATCTGGTTGATGAGGATATAATATGATTTGATCTGTTCACATGCGGCCAGAAACACAGCAGATTGCCTCGGAAACAACGTCAGCAAGACTGTTCCAGTACAGCCCGTCGAAAGAGGGTAAAAAGGGCAATGCGCCGTCATCTTCTGGCGGAAGTGACCTTCTGATCCCCTCCCCAAACACACCCTCACTCGAAATGAAAGTGAGCTCAATCATTACGACGCAAGCGGCTCCTCAAATGGCCAACGTTGCTACGCAGATTGAAGGTTAGTTGGGGTGTTATTTTGTCAAAATTGCTAGTTACGTTTATCGATGATTGTGTCATTTAATTACATGTTGGCATGACGACGGACACATGTTTGCTTGGGCTGTTGATCGTTTCGACAATTATAATCTGTATGAAAAGTTGTCACTGCAAGGACCCCTAGCCTCTATGGCTCCGTCTCTCTCTCTCTCTCATTGTGCGTCGACACTTATTTTGTGTCGTCGCGGAGAGGCGAGTTGTTGGCACTCGGACATGCCAATTCGACTGGGCGTGGCGACTGACGCGCGGCTACAGCTCACACTCGAGCAGAGTCTTTGGGGGAGTGAGGTGAGATGCAATTGATTTGCAGGAAAAGACACATTTCGGTGGGCAAGGCCCAATTCAATCAAATTTTGAGGCGTACTTATTCGCATTGGAATACATTCGAGCATTAATCCTGTACCAACTTATGCCAACGTGGGGGGATTACTGCTCCTACTACAAATCTGACAAGGAAAAGTGGGTTTCGATGAGTCTCATGAGACAAAATTGTTGCAAAGACTTTCATTTCATGCGAAAGTGCATGAAGAAGACGTTGGTAGGCCGATCTCACGAAAGAGAACAACCCATTCTGGCTGTATTGCAGCCCTTTTTGCTTTGACATGACGTTCAGATTTACGCCGTCCACGCGACTTTCCCCCTCATTTGAGGCGAAAACGGAATCCGAAAAAGAATTGCCGTAGAACAAAGACTGTAGGATAGTGCCAACCAGTGCTCGGCTCACCGTCCTACGACTCCTGTCAAACATCACCTGCGACATCTTTGCAGAATGGCTCGAAAAAACAAGAGAAAATATGAAATATATTCACCCAATTTCGTTTAAGTTGATGAAGGACTGGTAGAAGAAGAATTTTCCCACAATGATATGAGTTGAGCTGACGTTCCCATTCAATTTCACATATCCTTTTAGGAAAGCAAGGTTATGTGAAATTGACTGGAAACGTCAGCTCAACTCATAACATTTGGGGAAAAATTCTTCTTCTACCAGTCCTTCATCGCCTTGAACGAAATTGGGTGAATACACCTCATACTACTGATTTACTGATAGTCACGAAAACAATAATTAATTCCAAAAATAACAATAAACTTCAGCGCACTCTGAATGAGCGTATCTTTTGGGGGTAAGAAGCAATGCGATATTCAATGGCATTGTGAAAATTCGACGATTCATCCTATCTCATTTTAAAATGTTTCGTATGGAAGCAGGGTTTTGAGACTAATTAGTAAATAAGTAATATGAGATGTATTCACCCGATTTCGTTTAGGGTCATGAATGACTGGTAGAAGAAGAATTTTCCAACAATGATGTAAGTTAAGCTGAAGTTTCCAGTTAATTTCACATAGCCTTGCTTTCCCAAAAGGCTATATGAAATTGAATGG